TGTACAGGAGGCAGGGATCAAGAGCATCCCCAAGGAAAAGAAATGCAAAAAGGCAAAATGGTTGTCTGAGAGGCTTACAAATAGCTGTGGAAAGAAGAGAAGTGAAAGGCAAAGGAGAGAAGGAAAGATATAGCCATCTGAATGCAGAGTTCCAAAGAACAGCAAGGAGAGATAAGAAAGACTTCCTCAGCGACCAATGAAAGAAATAGAGGAAAACAATAGAATGGGAAAGACTAGAGATCTCTTCAAGAAAATAAGAGATACCAAGGGAACATTTCATGCAAATATGGGCACAAAAAAGGACAGAAATGGTATGGACCTAACAGAAGCAAAAAATATTAAGAAGAGGTGGCAAGAATACACAGAACTATACAAAAAAGATCTTCATGACCCAGATAATCATGATGGTATGATCACTCGCCTACAGCCAGACATCCTGGAATGTGAGGTCAAGTGGGTCTTAGCAAGCATTACTACAAACAAAGCTAGTGGAGGTGATGGAATTCCAGCTGAGCTATTTCAAATCCTGAAAGATGATAATGTGAAAGTGCCTCACTCAATATGCCAGCAAATTTGGAAAACTCAGCAGTGGCCATAGGACTGGAAAAGGTCTGTTTTCATTCCAATCCCAAAGAAAGGTAATCCCAAAGAGTGCTCAAACTATCACACAATTGCACTCATCTAACATGCTAGTAAAGTAATACTCAAAATTTTCCAAGCCAGGCTTCAGCAATATGTGAACCATGAACTTCAGATGTTCAAGCTGGTTTTAGAAAAGGCAAAGGAACCAGAGATCAAATTGCCAACATCCGCTGGATCATTGAAAAAGCAAGAGAGTTCCAGAAAAACATCTATTTCTGCTTTATTGACTATACTAAAGCTTTTGACTGTGTGGATCACAATAAACTGTATTCTGAAAGAGATGGGAATACCAGACCACCTGACCTGTCTCTTGAGAAACCTATATTCAGGTCAGGAAGCAACAGTTAGAACTGGACATGGAACAACAGACTGGTTACAAAGAGGAAAAGGAGTACATCAAAGCTATATATTGTCACCCTGCTTATTTAACTTATATGCAGAGTACATCATGAGAAACGCTGGGCTGGAGGAAGCACAAGCTGGAATCAAGGTTGCTGGGAGAAATATCAATAACCTCAGATATGCAAATGACACCACCCTTATGGCAGAAAGTGAAGAGGAACAAAAAAGACTCTTGATGAAAGTGAAAGAGGAGAGTGAAAAAGTTGGCTTAAAGCTCAACATTCAGGAAACTAAGATCATGGCATCTGGTCCCATCACTTCATGTGAAATAGATGGGGAAACAGTGGAAACAGTGGCTGACTTTATTTTTCCAGGCTCCAAAATCACAGCTGATGGTGACTGCAGCCATGAAATTAAAAGATGCTTACTCTTTGGAAGGAAAGTTATGACCAACCTGGATAGCATATTAAAAAGCAGAGACATTACTTTGCCAACAAAGGTCCGTCTAGTTAAGGCTATGGTTTTTCCAGTGGTCATGTATGGATATGAGAGTTGGACTATAAAGAAAGCTGAGCGCAGAAGAATTGATGCTTCTGAACTGTGGTGTTGGAGAAGACTCTTGAGAGTCCCTTGGACAGCAAGGAGATCCCACCAGTCCATCCTAAAGGAGATCAGTCCTGGGTGTTCATTGAAAGGACTGATGCTGAAGCTGAAACTCCAGTATTTTGGCCATCTGATGCAAAGAGTTGACTCATTTGAAAAGACCCTGATGCTGGGAAAGATTGAGGGCAGGAGGAGAAGGGGACAACAGAGGATGAGATGGTTGGATGGCATCGCCAACTCAAGGGACATGGGTTTGGGTGAACTCCTGGAGTCGGTGATGGACAGGGAGGCCTGGCGTGCTGCGATTCATGGGGTCGCAAAGAGTCGGACATGACTGAGTGACTGAACTGAAAGTCCTTATTACTATCTTCTAAAACATGACCTAATGAATTAACTAACTCACTTACTTTTCAAACTTGAAATTTTTATAGTTGTGTGTGAATGATTAACACATAGATATAAAATTAAGAACATATATATTTATATACTTGTTTTAATAACACCCATTATATTATTTCACCTTTATTGTATAATTGTAATAGAGAGATATTAGACACCACTTAGAGCCATGTGAGACCCAAGTAATTAGGTTCAGGGTTTGTAAAAAAGAAACAAAAATCAAAGGAGAGCTGAAGAGCACAAAGATTCCTGACCAGGAAAATGACATGAATGTAATCCCCAAATTTCAGAAGTAGCAGAAGATTGTCAAGGTTTTTGGCAACAAAATGACTTTGTAACCCTAAGGGAGAATGACTGAAAGATTGAAATATATCAGCAGAATACAAGGGGAGCTCAAGGGAAAACCAGCCTTGATGTCACAGGAGGCATCTGCTGGTCCATCTCCTTTCACTGCACATCACTTTGTGCACTTGTCATGGATAACAATAATGAAAATGAACTCACTTAGGAGATGACTCTTTATCTCTGCGTGGAAAGATTGCAAAACTTCATCCAAGGAGTCATAGTTTAAATAAATCACTTAAAATTACAACATCATTAGACCTAAGAATTCCTTAGCTACCAAACAAGTTTGCCTTTGAATAATACCAAAGTGTATTCTAAACTAAAAATTGCGGCAGCCTGTTCATTTTTAGAGTATACATTGCTATATTTTTCCTTTTTTTTTTTATAAAAAAGAAGGTCAGAATCTTTTAAAGTAACAGGTTAGAAAATGTTTTGATTTGTCCTCTTCCCCACCTTCTCCATTCCTAGGAAATAGGAAAGACTTTATGTACTAACACTAATATCTATTCATTTCACCTTATGTCAAATGTAGTCACAACTCTGCAGCACAAAATAGTATATAAATTACAAAGAAAATGTGTGCTTTCTCATTTATATTCTTATCTTCAAATTCAGACCATCAGCACAAGTTGAAATGTAGAATTTAAAACTGAATGGGGCTGTAAGATCAGCTCACGTTAGGCTTCTTATTTTACAGATGAAGAAGCAAGCCTGAGAGTGACCGGTCCAAGGTCACAGGCTTTGTGAATGGAGCCCTGATTGAGAGTTTTTGATTGTCACTCAATCCTGTCTTTATATCACACATCCTTTTAAGCCATGGAAGAGAAAACTTCCCCAATGTATCATGCCAACCAGGGCTATCTTCTCAGTTATTTTTCTTTTTCCACAAACATATTTGTTAATCTATTAGAGTCCTAATATAAAATGGTGCTAGCAAAAATGTTACTATTCTCCAGAACTTTAAGCATTGCTCTTTCTGCCAGTATATGAGCGGCTACCATCTACTTACAGAGGAAATTCTATGTTCGATTATACAAAGGTGCTCTCACAATTGGCCATTGTATGCCTGTGGCATTATGGGGCATAATCATACCCCAAGGTTGGAAGAGGCCTCCAAGAACATCTTATCCAAGTTTATATTTTTATATGAATAAAATCTCCCTGAGAGATGCGAAGTGACCGGCAAAAGTAGCGCTGCGCTGACCTCTCTGTTCTCTCATTTAAACTTTGCCTTGTGAAGAACAGTCTACATTTGTGAGATAGCTTCTCAAGGTCAAGGGCATATGTGGCCCTGAAACAAAACCTGTTTTCTCCCCACATGAGAACCAAACCAATTTCTAGTTTTTGTAAGTAGGGTCAAACTTTTAGTATGTCTTACCATAAGACATAGATAGGTACAAGTTGAGAAAGGTTTGGATAATTCTTGGATATCAGTTTCATAGCAAATTTAGGAGAGGTTAGACATGTTTTGAGGTATTGCAACAGTATTTTGACATGATGTGATCATTAAGAGTGCAGGCACTAACCCAGAATGACTGAATTAAAATGCTGGCTTTGCCACTTTCTAGGGGCATGAATTTAGCTTCTCTGATGCACAGCAGGGATAAAGTTACTCCCATCTCATGGGGTGGTTGTGAGAATTAGATGAGTTATACACACAAAATGCTTGGTAACTTGGCACATGAACATCTAATTAACGCTTGTTATTACTATTATTAATGCCTCGGAAGGTAATCAACCCTCTCCCAAGATATCTACTGGGAAAATAGTGTGACTTTGTAGCAAGGTTGTTCAATTTAGTTTCTGAAGTTTTCAAGATGTAGCTCCTCCAATATATGTTGGGTGAGCACTTCTCTGAGATTTTAATTCCTCTGCTGAACACACTGGTAATAATGCTTTTTCTGTTTACTTCATGTGGATAGTTGCAAAAATCAAGTGAATTTATGACTGTGAAAATGCTTTCCAAAGAATAAAGCTATTGACAAATGGACATAATTATTTTTATTCTTTTCTGCTGCCTCTGTTAAGAGATACAGCCTGGCTGAACAAAAATTCTAGCTAAGTGTGAGAATTTAAAAATTCTCACATTTCCTTGTTGAGCCAACATTTCCTTGTGGACAACAGTTGGAAGTTGGGTTTGGAAGCCTGCTTAGTCAGTTAGTAACATTTACGGAATGCTTAACTCTCCATAGGACACTCTTGTTATTTTTGTTGTTGTTGTTCAGTCACTAAGTCATGTCTGACTCTTTGCAACCCCATGGACTGTAGCACACCAGGCTTCTCTGTCCTTCACTGTCTCCTGGAGTTTGCTCAAGCTCATGTCCATTGAGTTGGTGATGCTATCCAACCATCTAATCTTCTGAATGGACACTCTGGACAAAGATTTTACACATCAATTCCAAGGTCTCTGTCATTAAAGTGAAAGTTTATGTAAAGGTGGTATTCAAGAAAGTTCCATGATAAAGGACACCAGCTCAGACTGCAATTCCCAAGTATTGTGCTGTGGGACGGGTTTCCACTCTTCCTTCTGTCCCAGAATGTGCTTCCTGCTTCACACATCATGAGATGGAGCGCCTCTCCTCCATGTGGGCTGGACTTGGTAACTTGGGAGACCAACCGAATGTTGGAGAAGTGACCAGGACTTCTGAAGCTCACTCATTAGCAGACTTTCAGCTTCTCGTTGGACTTCTTAAAACACTCATCCTTGGGGAACTCCCCTTCAGAATGCACATGCTGGGGCCACAGGGAGGAGCCGTAGTTGGCAGCTCTAGCTGAGCTGCCGCCTGATATTCAGCAGCAGCTGCCAAGCGCGTGAGTTTCCTCCCCAGCCAAGCTTTCAGACGACTCCAGTCCCAGTGGCCCTCTGACTGCACCTGCATGAGACTCCAAGTGAGAATGGCCCCAACTAACTCCACATAGCACACAGAAGCTCAGAGATAACTAATTATTATTTAAAAACACCAAGTGTGAGGGTTGTTTTCTTTGCAGCCATGCTTATCTGAAACACACATGGTTTTCTTCTGAGGTAATTTTCAAATTGTGAAAATTGGAAAAAAGTGTTTAATAAAAGTCTTTTGTGTGCACATTTCAAATCTGATAGATCCAGTAGCTAAAAAAGCATTTGGAATGGGAAATATTTTACTCTTGTTTAAAATAATAATAAGAAAATTACTGTACTATTATGGGTTGAGAACTGGTTATATGTCTGTCATTCACTGAGTACTTTATACACTTATCTCAAAGCTGGGTTTAAAACCAAAGTTATTTAAAAATCTTATTTGGTTTTGCTATACCGCATAGCCCACTATATGTTATCTTCCTTAGAATGTAAAGGATCAGTCCTGATGAATTACACTTTCCAGGTAGGAAGTTCTAGACCCTATAGGAAAGCAGCATGGCAAATATTGGATTTATTGCTTGCTTTTGACAGTTGACTCAGAGCCTGACACATAATAGGTGCTTAATAAATGGTTGTTAATAAAGGTATTTATAACTTAACTGGTTTTTCTCTAAAGGTACCATGTAGCTCTCTTACCTCTTGACTCTCAGACATTATCTAAACATTTGAGGTCTTTTCTTCCTCATAGATTGGTCACCAAGTTTTAATTATTGTACTTAGAATTCAAATTCAACTTTAAAAGTCAGCAAAATTTGTACTGCTTTTCTTTAAATATTTCTGCAATAGGGTACTGGCAAGAGCCCCACTTCCTGCCGGACCTCTCTGCCACCATGCTGATTTTTGCTCGTTCCTTTGGCCATTCTGGTCTCCTTGCTCTTCCTCTTCTTCGTTAGGCGCTCCTTCTGTGCTTCAGGTTGTCTGCTCCTTCAGGTCTCTGCTCCAATATTACATGATCGATGAAGTCTTTATGATCACCCAGTTAAAGCGGCCAATCCCCCTTTCCTAGACTTCCTGCCCTGCTTAATCTCCCCCTCGTAGTATGCATCGTCATCTGACAAGGCATATGTGTGCTCTTCAGCCCCTTTATTAGAAAGAAACCTTCTCAGGGATAGAGAGTTTTTTCGGTTTTGTTCTCTGTTACATTTTCAGCGCCAGAAACAGCACCCCACATGGTAGGAGCTGAATGAACAGACATTATCGAATGAATGGATGTCTATGACTCACTGGACGAACTGCAGCACAGAGAAGCTGACCCCATATGAGAAACAGTCATCCCTTTATGTTTCAAGTTAGGAGCATTGTTAACATTCTGGGTTTTCACTTTAAAGAGAAGAAAACTGAAAGTGTTGAGCAACTTTCAGTGACATATTCTGGAAATAGGTAGTCACCAGTTGATCATCGTACATGGTATGGTTATAAAGATCATTGCTGGAATGCTGGCCAAGCTTTGGAGCTCCACCTCTCCCTCGTGAAGGAGATGCTTATAGGTGACAGAGGAACCTCTAATCTGGGGACCAGAAGAAAGTCAGAGTCAGCTGCAACCAAGAATAGTAAAGACTTTGTGTAATGAGAACCAAACTCTACCATGAGTTTATGTGGGACTTTGGCTTGGTAAGTACTATGTATTACAAAAAAATTTCACAGCTATTTTCACGAAGGGCTAATTTGTATAAAAATGGATCACATCGATGTTTCTTACAGCCATCTGTGTTTGTGGATATCCTGATCACTTGAACCAGGCTTCTACACAGATACATCACCACTGCCTAGAAGAAGAAGGATGATAAAATGGAAGAGAAAATTCTCCCAGGGCAAAAGTGCTCAAGATTTAGAGTTATAAATCTCAAGTTTCAAAGCCTTGACAAGCATCATAGGCCTAAGGAGAGCTGAAACCCATGGAATAAGGTAGGGTGTCTGCACGGCAGAGCGATGGACCAACAAGCTGCTAAGCCTTCCTTCCTACAGTCAGACCTTTTCTTGTTTGTTTTTTTTTTTAACCTTGAGTATTGTATTTCAGGGGAATATGTTTTGCTATACTGTTTGGTGCCCGGGCAAGAACAAACCTTTCTAAGATGGCTTTAGGAAGATGTGCTGCTTACCTGGACTTTCTAACACTGAGCATTAGAGCCTTGATTATAATGAAGAGAATTCATCCTCATGTAGCTCAGGTCTACACCTCTCTGTTTTTAGGTTGAGTCTATAATTACTAAGTTCTTATTCATCATATCTCACAAAACTCACAGCTCAGCCAAAATACTTGAAAATTGGGTTCTAAAGAAATAGTTCTCTTAAATGTGCTCTGCAGAATGCTGACTGATTTATTTGTCTAAAAGCCTGGTGTAGTAGTGAAAAGCGTGGATTTTGGGAAGAGATCTGGATTTATATGCTAGCTCTGCTGCTGGGTGAGTTACTTTACCTCTCACTCTCAGCTCCTGTTTCCCCATCTATAAAATAGGGACATAAATATCTTCCTCAAAATGCTTTTTTAAAAAGATTGAAGTATAGTTACTTTACAACTTTTCAGGAGTACAGCAAAGTGATTCAACTATACATACGTGCATATATATATATACAGGCTTCCCAGATGGCGCTAGTGGTAAAGAATCTGCCTGCTAATATAGGAAATGCAACAGATGTGGGTTCAATCCCTGGATCAGAAAGATCTCCTGGAGAAGGAAATGGCAACCCACTTCAGTCTTCTTGCCTGGAAAATTCCAGGAAGAGAGGAGCCTGGCTGGTTGGAGTCCATGTGGTCACAAAGACGGACACTGCTGAATGCACACACACACTCTCACGCACACGTATGTGTGTGTCTGTGTGGTCAGTTGCTCGGGCGTGTCCATCTCTGTAGCTCCTTGGCTGATAGCCTGACAGGCCCATCTACCTACGGAGTTTTCCAGGCAAGGAGACTGGAGTGGGGGGCCATTTCCTTCTCCAGGGGATCTTCTTGAGCCAAGGATTGAACCTGCAGCTCTTGTGGTCACAAAGATGGACACTGCTGAATGCACACACACACACCCTCACACACACACACTCACACATATATATCTTTTTTCAGATTCTTTTCCTTTATGGGTTATTATGACATATTGAATATAGTTCCCTGTGCTATGTAGTAGGACTTGCTCTTCATTTTATATATAGCAGTATGTATCTGTTCGTCGCAAGCTTTAATTTCTCCCTCCTCCTCTTTCTCCTTTGGCGATCATAAACTCATTTTCAATGTCAATGAGCCTATTTCTGTTTCATAAGTAAGTTGATTTGCACCATTTTTTTAGAGTCCACATATAAGTGATATTGTGCACTACTTGTCTTTCTCTATCTGACTTACTTCACTTAGTATGATAATCTATCCAAGTTGCTGCAGATGGCATTATTTCACTCTTTTTCATGACTGAGTAGTATTCCATTGTAAATGTGTACCACGTCTTCTTTACCCATTCATCTGTAGAGGGACACTTAGGTTGTTTCCATGTCTTGGCTGCTGTAAATAGTGATTCCATAAACATTGAGGTGTATGCTTTTTTAAAAAATTATAGTTTTGTATTTTCTGGATATATTCCCAGAAGTGGGATTGCTGGATCATTTGGTAACTCTATTTTCAGTTTTTTAAGGAACCTCCATACTGTTTTCCATCATGGCTGCACCAATTTACATTCCCATTGACAGGGTAGGAGGGTTCCCTTCAAAAGGATTTTTGTGTGGATTAAATCAGAGAAAGTCGGATGATGGCTGAGTTTAGTGTTTGGTATATATTAAGCACTCAACACATGACAAAAAAAAACCCATAAGAGTTGGGGGCAGAAGGGAGTCTCCTGAAGTGGATGCTGTCTTTTTGGCCATCTTTCCTGATTCCGCTGTAAAAACGCATCGTCTGTCATGAAGTGGCTCATTCTGGTGACCGCTCGCCTTCTCTCTAGCAGTGATAACCCGGGGTTTTTATTGCTGTTGATCACTCCATGATGGGTTCGCTTCATCTGGACAGGTGGTCAGTCCTGCAACAGGGTCTTCCTCTGAAGTTCTGTGCCCTGTAATCCCCTCCTCTGGCTTTGCCCGCCTACCTCTGAAAACTCTGTAAACTCAGGAAGCTATGTCTGAAACACAGAAAGGGGGCTGTTTAACATGTTAATTTGACTCTATTTGCCTCTGAATTTTTTATTCCACATGGGTTTAGTTCTGTGGGTCTAAGTTCATGCTTTGGAGGCATAAGAATTTATTATTGCTGCCATGTGTTATTCCATCACTTGGCACAGTGCTCAGCATATAGAGATAACCTAATATTATTAATACTATTTAAATCTATAAGAGGGCTAAGAGTCTTCATAGGAAACCAGAGCCAAAACTCAAATGTAATATGGCAAGTCCCAGCACCAACCCACCAGAAAGCAGAGGCAAATGTATTTAGAAAATTCACTTCTGCTTGTGGATAATGAGGATTCTAATAAGATATGTGACTGCAGAGATATGAAGGAAGCCTGTGATCATTCAACTCCTGTGAAAACTACATCATATCATTAGGGGGAAAGATATAACTCCCACACGAGGAGTAAGCTGGAAGAAAATTGAACATTTTAAATTATTAAAGGGACTTGACTCAGAGACTTTGATCCTGGCTAAGCTTTCGGAGTATGCAAACAAACAACCAGATAAGAAAGTGTAAATGACCTAGTCAATCAACTATCAGATAGCATCACCAAATGAACAGCACTGATCATCCTTCAGAAAACTTATCAGACTGCAGGGAGAGGTTATTGAAGCATTTAGGCATGCCTAGCACACTATCACTTATACATACCCACACTTAACTGGGCTAGTAATTTCATTCTACCTGGCAGATAACATGGAAAACCTTAAAAAAAAAAACTCACCTTTAGCAAACTACCAACAGTTACAATGAAAAACAAGAGAGAGGCAAAGTGTGGATCAGAAACAAGATTTCAATGTTGAGGAGCTTTATCCTTTGACTTGTAACAGAAAGAA